GAAGTTTGATTTTCTTGTCCATTATCTATCAGGCCTATAATTGATTCGAAAAAAAGGTTCGGAGATAATTTTCTTTTCTTTCTTACAGAGGCTTTCTTCTTGCCATCAAGAGCTGGTAAATCGGTCTTGATATTCCGATCAAATAAGTTTTGGATGAACAACCAATACAGAGATAAATTGAATTGGGCTTGTCGGGACAAGGATATAAGAGGATGTCTCTGTCGAGTACAGACTACACTGGATGGCCGCTTTGTCCGGATCAAGGGTGGCCATAACCATCAGCCAAACTTTACGCCGGAGAACTTTGATGCGCCTGCGCCTGTCGAAAAGACATTCGAGGAATGGAACTCTGTAACCAACACCCGGAATCAGGTTGGAACGTAGAGTGCAGGATATCTGTATTACTAGCAAGGTCATAAGTTTTATTGATGTATCAAGTTAACCTCAGTGGCTTCGCTGGCTGTGATACTGATAATTATTAAGTTATATATGTTAAGGATGTGTACATGTGTGCATTCTATGTTGATATATTACGGACACTGCATTCCTAGAGTACTGACTGACAACTTGTGAATTATTATAGATTTGTTTTTGGATAAGTAACCCAGAAATGTTGTACGCATTATTGATATATTTATATTAAATAAATTGATGGATCAATTTCTGATCTTTCTGAGCCTTTCTAAACCAAAATAATGTCACAAAATTAATTAAGCTCTAGAAATTGAAGATTGAAAAATTGTGGAGAATTGCATGTAATTTATAAAGTTCTTATAAAAATGAATTTTATGATAGTTGTGCGTCTTGTGGTGTTTTAAATGACAAACTTTCAAAATAAATCTCGTAAAACGTAAACAAATTACAATTCAATCGATTTTTTTGTCAACGCTGTATTTGATTAAATTGATTAAATACTTTGCATTACTCTTTGTGAAAACAGTCTTTAGTTACATATATGTGTAACATAGGGGTTTGTTTTTTTCTATTAAATTCTTTGGGTTCGATAGCTTATGAATTTTGAGTGATTATAAAGGCTGATGTTTGTGTCATTTGTATTTTTTACTAAGTATAAATAAAAGTATTAAGTATTTTTTATAAAATCTAACCGTTAATATCATTTTAATTATTGTTCTTAAGAACCATCGTAAGATAAAAAAATGTGTCATATAAATCTTGACTGACTTATCGATTAAGGACGTATTTCGAATAATTTTTAAAGGAAATCCATTACCTGTAACCATGTTTATACTGTTTCTCTTGTGACGATTTGTAATGTATCTATGACGATTTTGTTATTTTCAATGTTACAAGTGAATTAATAAACAATATATTTTCTGTATAATACTGTATTTCATTATTGTTTATTACTAATCACTGCATATAGTGTATTTGAATAGTGGTAGATATTAACTTGTTTTCAGTAAGTTGGAGCGTATCGCGGAACGGCAATCCTGTACTGGTAGTGAACGGCTTTCGTTTCCGTAGGACTTCCAGAGGCAGTCAAGGAAATCGCGTCACCTGGCTCTGTATTAAATCTGATTTAGGCTGCAAGTGCTATGTAGTTACAGCATATAATCAGGTCATTGCATTACAAAATACACATGAGCATGGTTCAAGGAAACGTAAGCGAGGAATACGACCTAGAATGAGATTTAGCAAGAAGAAGAACTCAAAAAGAAAATTAAAAAAAGAAATTAAACAAGAAATGATTAACGAATACAACGGAGTTGTGATAAACTTTGACTTTAATGAATTATTTAGTCAAGAAGCGAACGGAGTACAATTGTGCTAGGTTAAGTACATGATTGGAAATAGTATTTTTTTATAAAAAAAATGCAATTTGACAATCATAGTTTTTTATAATAAACTTTGTGATAACATGAGAAAAGCATTTTGGTATTTCTAGTCCAACGATTTATTGTGTTACATACAAGTAGCTCTTTATACTTATAATTTTTTTGACACAATATACTAACTTTTGCATTGAATTATATTTACTAGTTTCGCATTTACAGAAATCACACACACATTTTAATATAGTTTTAATATTATACCCTTTTGTTTGCTTTTTCCTATGGGTATTAACTGTTAAGTTATTCAGTTGCAGGCACTGGTGCTGCTGGTAATACCGCTGAGCCTACACCAACGTTAGGCTTACCATTTCCCTTTCCTTGCTTCCCGGGACAATTTCGTTACTGCCTGAGCAAACGTGGAAAACCCGCCATAGAGGTCGGAGCGCACAGATTCTGCTTTAATGGACGAGCTGCTAGTGGGAAGGTGTGGTGGCGATGCTCTCGGAATCCTCGATGTCGTGCTGCGGTTCATACCTTCGGATTACGTGTAGTTCAAATGAATAGTGCTCATACTTGTGGTGTACGAGCTACGCCTCTGAGGCCTATGTTTTAGACAACTTTTATGATCAATTAACGACAAGGCAGCTACAATTATATTTACATATGCCATCAGACAAATTAAAACTGCAGATGAATTATTTAGAACGCAGGAATTGAACAGATTACCAATTCGCAAAGTTTTATTTCGTAAAATAATACGAATGACGAAGACGGAATAAAATTTTGCATTGATAAATTAAATCTATTTTAAATAATGTCTTTTTATGAGAAGAAAGACTAATTTATTAGATCGTTATTGGTATTTGACCAGCAATTTAGAACTTATTACAAATATTTTGAGGACTTCATAAGCAACACAATATCGAGTGAGAATCGTCCAAGTCGTATAAATAATAAAATAATTTGTGATGGCATTTTTATGGTAATCTCATTTAGGTACATTAATATGATGATCTCGTCGATACATAGCGAGTTTATGTCAATTTTATTGTCATTGAAGTGGCCACTGGCATGTGAAATGATGTAGGTAATGGCACAGAATTTGATCTCAGTACTGATTATTTTGTGAGGAATTTGGAAATACCGATGGATTTTATTTCTAACGGAAAGTCAAATATTGCTCTTGTGCCTTTCCGCCGGTGGTCAGCAACAGAACTCCAACATCTATACGCTTTTAAACAAATGAAATTGCAAACGTTAGTTTGCAGGTTTATTGTAACGATTTTCTCCAAAGAGATTATTACGATATATAATGTATATTATTCCTATATTATAATAGGGTAGATATTTGCGCTGTGTAAAGTATACGAATCTTTTATAGGCTTTAGAGCGACCGTTTGCGTACAAATGGCTTGAGACTGATTTGATATTAGGCAAGAGGTAAATGCATATATTGTTATGTTCTGACAGAGTATTTATACGGATCTATGGTTCTGTTAACGGCCAGTTCAATATAACGATTTTATATAATATTAAGATAGTATTCAAGTTCTCTAGTCGATTCCATTACGTGGGTTGTTTACGAGAAGGTGTGCAACGTTACGTAACTCTCGTCTGATTTGAAGCAAACCCGTCTCAGTTCTGATCTTCCGCACGCAACGGTCCTAATTGTAGTTTATTGTACAAAGTGATAGTTCTCTTATGATATCCTAAGTATTTTTATACATTATTTTTACATTATATTTTTACTATTTTATTCGTGAATATGTACATAAAGTTGATGGTTGTTGTATAGGAGCTACGGCTCCTGGGTGGTTAGTTTCGTTTTCGGTTACAAGAATGCTGCGGTTATGTTAGCTTTTGTCAGAAGATGTATAAGGAAAGTCATGTCATGTATACGAATTAAAGGAGGATATATAACAACTTGTTAAAGTAGGAAACTGCATTTATCGATCAATCGACTTAATGATAATACTCAATGTATACGATGTAGTTTGTAAGGTATTTTTTTAGTGAGATATATTATTTTAAATTAAGATATTTTAAACATTTTATTATTTTATATTTTTGAGTACTTATTTTATAATAGAAAGTTTATCAAAGCCTCGGCTGTACTTACACAAAGAATTGTTACAATGATGTTTACCTACATAAAAACCTTACCAAGAAAAAGGCACCAGCCTCTTTAGATTAGCGGTTAATAATTTTCCTTTTTAAATAAGTTACTCTACCATACATGAGAAAGATTGAGACGCTGCGCGCTGTACGTCCGTGTCACTCTTTCTATGCCTACGGTAGCGTAAACTTATTTAGAAATGAATTTGTTTGGTACTCATGTAGAGAGTCAGTTCATTTACCATTTAAAACATATAGTATTTCAATATGTTAACCTGCGGAGTATTATTTTAAAGTATTATTTTAATGTATTGTGATAAGATATTTTATTATGATTTTAACCTTGAAAGTATTATGGAATAAAATAGCTATAAGTGGCAGTTGTCGATCTGAGAATGTTTATGCTGTGTAGTGAATATCGGTAGTTCGAGAAAAGTTGTCTCGTGTATAGGTACAAAGAAACGATTAAATTGCGCTGATACAATAATTGAATTTTATTAATTTTCCTATTTATTTTTTGTATCGTTAGCAGTCCTAATTTCTTGTCGTTTACACCAGCTTTATACCGAATAATATATTTTATAACACCCGCTTTATCTATCATTACCCCAGGTCTGGGATTCTACCTACCAAACTATTTATAACTTTACGCATTACTACTACTTACGCGTAACTTTATCTCCACTATTATTGATTGTAGTAGTAAATAGTATATTAATTAGAAGTAGTAAGAAAAGCAAAAACAATCTAGTTGAATTTAGATTATTTTTGCTTAAATAAACCTATATAAAAACCTACGTTGGCAGAACCTTTTTAATGCATATATTAAAATTAATGAAGCCATCTAGAAAAGTATTATCAAGAAGCTCAACCATCTAGAATGTTGCTTGAAAACTTATCATGGTAAAATTAAATATTAATAGCCATTGAACTAGCGCTTGTAAACATGGAATAAAAAGAAACTCGACGAACTTTCAGGTAGGTACTTCTTATAGTAGAATTTAAAAGATGCCTACTTCAAGGTCAGTACGGGAATTGTGGTGCTTTCACCTTGTTAATCGGTACATTCGTCTGATTGTGACATTTTTGCAGGCTGGTTCTATATACGATCAGCGCGTGGTGGTCTTCATCTCGTCGCTGATGGTCACATATTCTATGAAGATGGTGGTTCTCATCCGCGCCGAGTGACTTGGAGGTGCGCTAGGTCATATCAGAAAGCTGAACGTTGCCAAGTTGCCTTATGCCTCAGAGACGGACGTCTCGTTTACTTTCGAGGCTCCCATAATCATCCCGCAACGTATAACCCCGCTAAACACGAATCTAGGCGCTTTCAAGTGGATCCTATGGGCAAGTACAAGATAGTAGCTATTACAGCGCCAAGGAGGGTTGCTATGGTAGCCGCCCCCGCACCCTTGGTGCCTACGGCACCCCACGCCGCCCTACTTCTATAGGCCTGGCGCGACCTCCTTGTTCGCGGTCTCTTAGATGAAAGGCACTGATCGCGCGCCAGGAGTGTCGCATTTTCATTTATTTTGTACTAATGGGAATGGCATTCATCAAACATCACATAGATTTGAATAATATGACCAAAGACTTAGATTGTCACTGTACTCGCGTTTATTATATTATAATTATAACAATTATGTAGCGTGTAAAAAAAAGTTGAAATGTGCAATATACATCCATGACTAGGATACCTATATGAATATTCTATATAAATATTAATTACTCGTATAACGAGCTATTTATTGTTGAAAATGAGGTCGTTTGTGGCCTTAGTAGTAGTATACGGCCGGGGCAACACGGCAATCGCATCGATTCCCAGCTCTTAATCCTCGTGTAGTTAGTTGCGAGTACAACAATATATGTAATACCTATTGGTCCAAAATAGTTTCGCGGTATTCGCAATAAGAGTAAATAAAAATGACGTGGCCAAATGACATTATTAAACTTTGGCGATATATGTGGCATGTAGATGCGGCATGGCCAACTTGGTCGTAAACATTACGAACCAACGATATCGTAAAAATAATGCTGAACCGTCGCCTTGCACCAATGCCTTAGCGGCTAATATTAAGACAATGAATATGAATAATCATTGTAACCGTTGTATATGTGCAATATTCTCTTACCAAAGTGTTTAGAAATTATGTATACAAACTGTATAGCTTTAATTATAGTGTAGCCGTCTTGTTGATGCTTTTATATAAAATTCTATTTATTGACCGCGTTTGTAGATTGCGGACTGACTGATAGACGATGTTACGAAATACTCCAATATTTACGATCTGTATTTAGCCATAGACGTAGAATACGTAGGGATAATGTACCAGCTTATGAACAGAATAATACGAGCGATAGTAGTTTTTATAATAGACATTTATATTATTATAATGTAGATATCTGTATAGCATATTAAAAATTATGTAATGTATTCACTTGTAATAGGTCATGAAAGGTTTGTATTATATGATGAATATATATTGGAACATTCATGCAACTATATCGTTAGGGCCTAGAGTTTGTATTCTTAATTTATATCCAAAGATTTACGTTGTTGAAATACTCATTTTCTTTTATTGTTATTTATTTTTAGTATTTATAATAATTTTATAAGACACTTTGATCATTACGTTTCTAAATAATATATCTTGTATTACAATTGGTTTCCTTTATAATTATTATGAAATATATAATATTGATTAACAGAAATAATTTTAATTGTTCCTAATTTTATTTTTATTTGATTTGTGAATAATTAGTTCAGATATAAACATACCACATAAACTTTTCGGACAGCACTCTCTACGTCGGAGGGTTTATCCCCGGTGGATCGAAGCGAAGGTCCTCTATTAAAGATGGGCGGCTTCTGGTACAGATTGGATGCTTGTTACAAGAGCAAGAGACGATGGTTGTGCGCGCGGGATTGCGGAGCCAGGATTCACACGGAGGGCAAGAAGGTCGTTCACACAGAATTAAGGCATCGATGTAAACTTCTAAATAACCACACTATTTGATATAATGTATTGAAAATGGTACGCCAGAAGAAGTTGCAATGTTTTATAGAGGTACACTTTGTAAAAATTCGCATCAGTCTTGCCTATTGCAATCACCAAGCAGCTTGGTTTGTAAGCTGTTTCGGTTTAGGCGTGAGATAAGGCAGTGAAATTACAGCATAAGAGGCATATAATCTTTGTCTTCTGAAATGGTAAGGCGTCGGTTACCACTTACCGTCACCTTGATGGCAAAAAAATTTAGGTTATTGTTAAACGATGTGAACAATTTATATATTAAAATTCCAATAGCTGCGCTATTTGAGATCGTGGATTGTATTATATGAGAACTGTATACCTGAACGACTAGACATACTAGCCTATACATTCCTTTTTTTAGGTTGTAATCGTAATACTGTAAAAAGTTTATTATATTTAGTTTATTATAGTCAACACATCTTGGTTTCGGCCGTCCTTAAAGATGTAGGGGTTTAGTAAATTAAAAGTCCAAATCTTCCAGTATTTCATAAATGTTTTAACATATGTAGTTATATAAATATGTTCTCACTTCGTGTAATACTCAAGGTAGGATTAAGTAGATTTTTAAACTATTTTCATTATTAAAACCTCGCTATCTGTTATATGATCTGAATAATTTTTTACATTAACTTCATGGAGATGTTTTAAAAGTTTTAGAACTATACCCACCGAGTTCTTGGTTTGTTTTCTTTTATTAGTTTTAATTTTTTTACAATATAATAAATTTTAAAAGTTTTAATCATTATTAAATTTTGTTTGTTTTAATGACCTTGACTCTTATATTCATAACGAGAAAGATTACAACAAAGTAAAACTTATTGTAAATGTATGTATTATGCCAGGTATAGATAGATATCTGTATCTAAAAAGAGATTTACTGATCATCATCAACCATCCATGGTCATCATCATACGAAGTTTTTAATTTTCCATAAACATTTAAACTCTACTAACTACACTGTTTCAATTGCAGTGCAAGTGATACATTCGCAGACGGGTTACCCCAAATTGTCACTGAATGGTTATTTCTATCGGCCGCATAATGCTTATCGCAATCAGCCGAAAGTGTTATGGTATTGTGCGGCGCGAAGCAAATTTCAGTGTATGGCAACACTTCGCACCTTCCATCGGGAAGTGATTTCGGTGGCAGGTGAGCATAACCATGAGCGCTGACCTACGCGTGCGCGTGCGCCGGATTTGGACCGCATGCGCGAACTCACTATGCTGCACATGCAGAAGATGTTCAAAATATACAGCGACAGGTTTGCATTCGGAGCCGTAAACTCATCGGAGGGCAACACACTATTGTAGCGTGATGAAACAATGTTATGATATACGTGAACCCAACTGCCCGTTGTATAACTATAGGAGGTATTGTGCGTTTGTGATAGTCATTTAAACAATAGACGAAAGTTTCAAACGGAAAGTGTGTGATGCCAGTACCGTTATTTTTATATTCTAAATTTTCATTATAATTGCATTTATAATAACTTTATTCGTAATTATTGTCTTTGTAACAATTTATTTTCAAATAGCTTCAGCCATCTTTACTGCAATTTAAGTAAATTATTAATTCAGGTTAATGTTTTTAATAATTTAGTATACAGTGAATTTTTTTGTCTCTTGTTATAATAAGATTCGTCTAAGACAGATATATATATATAAATGGATATAGATAAATATTTATTATATAGAATTGGGTATTGTAATAAATAATAGTTGCTAGATACTTGACGATTAGTTCCTATTAACTATTGGACTGTATTAAATTTTAGTTTCATATTTAATTTCGTTAATAAAAATAACGTGCAGATTATGAGAATGTGATACTTAATATAGAACAATTTGGTTGCATTTAATGTTGTCAAAAGTATTTTTTTTTATATTTGTTATTTATTCTAAGTTATTATATTTTTATTTGTTTAATTGCTGATTAGTTTTTAAAACTTTCATTAGATGTTAGTATTATCTGAAAGAAATATTTAAATCCTATCATTGTTTTCTTTACATCTACATATAATGGGACTAACTAACCGTAGTGTGTGTTTGTATATGTAGTTACGTACTAATCTGTTTGGTAGAGAAAAATTCCGCTTGACCGAACAAGCGCACCATTCGTCAACGAATATGTACGGTGCCAACGGTGCGGTCGTCAGATCAACCGGAGTTTGTTCGATACGGTCGGCGTCCCAACGACGCCACCTCACGCTGATGATTTTGACGCAGCGCCAGCTGTGTACGTGCCTTCGAGGACGGGCAAGTCGCTCCTACTGCATGACGGTTACACGTTCTACTTGAAGAACCTCCAGGCGCATGGCCGGAAGCAATGGTACTGCTCGTCGCGCGACATGGCCGGCTGTCGGGCGGATGTCATCACCGCGCCGGCGGACTGCGGCGACGGCGATGTGCTGTTCTTGGTGCGCGGGCGCCACATTCATGGACCTCCAAGTTACTACTTCACACCTGATGGAAAGTATGTGAGACGCAAGGACGTTTATCACAGGTATAGGTAGCGGTGACACTCGATTTTCCCAAGTTCAGCCATGTTTTTTATTCAATCGTAGCGTACTTAGGTATATATATTTTTTATATTACTTTCCTTGATATATTTTTTTATCCTGTTTGTTACCTTATCAATTTGTTGTGAATATTAATAACATTGTTATGAAGAAAGTACTTATGTAGGTCTTATTGAGATGGAGGCATGTTTATCACAGGCATTGATATATGTATCAATAACAATTTTTTTTTTATATTTACACTGATATTTTTTTTAATATTTTTTATTATCGTGTGTTTCTTTTGATTGTATTTTGTATTATTTTACTTTTTTTTTAATATACACGTAATATGTTGTGAATGTAATAATGACATGTAAATTAATAACAGAAAGTTCCTTAAATTGTCTCATTGTTTGACATTCAGTGCCTCGTTTTATAGTATTCAAATTATATATACTTAATATAAGAGTATTGACACATTAATTATTTGTTTAAATTCAGTATGTTTATTTATTCGTTATAATGTTTACGTTCTTAGTGAGTTACGGACAGAAATTATTAAATTCTGCGTAATTTGTATTGTTTTCGTTTATGCGTGAGCCGTTTCATAAGTGCGTTATTAATGTTAAATTGGAATAAATGTATAATCGGATATACATTTCTTGATAAAACAAGGTAATTTTCTCTACGGCATTTCACGTTAATATAATAAATACGTAGAAGATGTTTATGTCTACATGTAAGAAAGCATGTCTATTTCTATATACATTTAATGAACTCAGAAACTTTTCTAGTAACCCTTTCGTCCGTAACTTTCACATTTACGAGGTAATAAAGATTAAGTTTATTGTGTTGTCGAAATGTTTGCTCCACTAGTATTTTCTAGATGTGTATCAAATACTCAGTTATTAAACAAGTATGGCCGTTTATTAATATTGTGTTTCTATAAGTCAAACGCGGTACAATATCGTAATACTACTGTAACATTACGCGGGGGCGTCTTGTGTGGGTGGCAGGGTGGCATTACGTCAAACATAATGCGCCACGGGAAATGCGACTTTTCATTGCTATATTTAATGTTAGATATGCTAATTCAACAAAAGTATACATCTATCTACACATAGGTTAGTAATATTTGATCCCATTTAGAGGAAGAGCTTGTAGATATCAGGAAGACGTATACGAATTTAATTTCAATACAGATATAGGTCATTAAATAGTTTTTCATTACCATGAGAATGTGGTACGAATAAATAATTATATGAACTGTATAAAAAATATCGTAATTATCGAGACAGAGTCTAGAGGTCATTCAACTGCTGACAATCCGGTGAACGTGACAACATGACCCATTTGTGGTGAACTTAGGCTAACTAACTTATGAAATACGCATATAAGTTCATCACAAATAGAAGTACTTATTATATATTAGTTTACCACAAACACCTGTAATATATTTCGAATCTAAGCCAGCGTAGCTTCACCGTCCATAATATTATTTCGGCTAATTAATAGTAAATTCATCAGGCCAAAGCTGAAACTGAAACACCTTTAAAAGCTGTTTTAAACTATCTAGCATTTTGTAAAATTATACAAAAAAAATGCATATATTTATTTATATAAATAATATAAATAAATATATTTATTTCCATATTTTATTATTATTTATAATCTATTAATAAAGTTTTGTACATTCCAAAGTATTCTAAGTATTTTGAATGTTTAAACTTTATTCATAGCATATTTTCAATATTTCTATTATAAAATTAAACTGAGTGTAATTTTAAAAATATCATGGTATTTAAGTATCTATTTGTAACTCATTAAATACAAAGTACACTCAAAAAGTAATAAATTGTTTTGTTTGTTTTGTATTAATATAATGAAGCACCAGGAAAATTGCAAGTCTGCTCATGCGAATATATTAAAAATAGCATGAAATAATTCCAAAGGAGGGACCGTAAAAAGTCGTGTTTATATTTGTTTAGGCGTTCCAATTCGAATATAATATTAGTGTGTTTTCTCGATACTGTGTTGCAATATTGAATGTATTCGGGGAGGACATGAATTGCGCAGTTGTGACGGATCAATACAACCTACAAAGTTATGAAAGAAGAAAGTTCGGCAGGGCACCGGGATCGTATGGGCGTGCCCTGCCATCTCCCGCGCTACAGCCTAGTTACGCCCTGCATGCCCTAATTTTGACGTACTACTACGCTTCGCCCTTCTTTGTGAGTCGCGCGCCTGTGTGCGTAAGGGTGCCCTGGTGCCTACGTCATCCTGCGTACTACGTTTGTGTAATGCCTACGCACTCAATATCGTAGTATAACAACGTTCAGTAATAATTTATTTACATTCATCGCTAGCTACGTAGTCTCTATGGGAACGGAGATTCCGGGGTTGATAGTAGCTACGATTATATCTCTTGACTTATAAATAGCCCATCCAAATGTTATGTACATAAAAATGTTTTCGTTCAGTATGATAGTATGTTTTTTAATGTCACCGTAGTTTGCATGATTATTATGGTAAAATTTAGCTCTGTTTAGGATGTGATCAGGTGTTATAACGTATCACTATAGGATGCCTAAATATCGCATTGGCCGGGGTAGCTCCGAGGCCCGGTGGTGCGGTTAGGTGAGCTCGGGTGGTAGATTGCGTTGACGGCGGCAGCACGCGGCCCGCGCGTCATCCCACGGGCGCGCCGCGGCGCGCGGCGGGACATGCGCGTGGCGCCACTCGCCTCCGCCTGGTGATGGGACCCCCAATCGATAATGCCCCAGAATCTCACTCAGCGAGCCCCTCTCACTCTCCGCTCCTCTCCCAATGCCTCAACTCACCATATTCGTCAAAATATAACATCCCATTGCAATAATAAAGTCGTTTTTTCGTTAGCGTGCGCTCGAATATATTTCTGTTATGCTTAATGGCTGTTATAAAAGGACTTTTAACGGAAAATCTGTTTCTTTGTATTACGTTCCTTACGCTTAAGGTTCTTTTACGCAAAGTTGTGGGTAAATAAATGCTATAAATGAATTCAATATTTTTGTTTAAATGGAGCAACGAATTAATTGAGTTCGTTTCTTTATTTAAAGATGCACGATTGAAGCACAGAAATCTTTCGACACACTTTTAATGATATCACAATGGCTTATTATAGTTTTGAGTAAACATTTAGGATATGGATGTTGGTGATTGTAGCGTTTAGCGGTTGCTGGGAGAGAAGAACGTGGGTATTGCGGGCACGTTGGTTGGTTTGGCGACGAAGCACATTGTCTGCGACACACGCCCCAACCTGCAGCATCACTGTTCAAGCCAACCGTCGCTGCAACTGCTTGGTGCGACCCTGCGAATACAGGATTCTCTGATTATATTCTCATATAAACTGCTGGGTAGAACAACACCTCCAGAGCGTCGCTGTGTATCAAATTAATATTATAATACGTTTTGCATATTGTCACAATACTGTGAAAATTTTGTAGGAATGTTTATGAAACCTTTTTTATTATGTAAGATACCTTCATAGGTTTTTATTTTATTATCGAAATTCATTAATTCTATGCATACAATATTTCTGTAACTCCCTATAACTCGTACCTAACTCGATTTCTATAAAATTAGTGGATTTATTTGGCTTTTCATAGTGTAGTGATGATATCGGCAGACTATAGTTTTTTTCATTGCTATATTTGTTCAATAATGAAAGTAAATTAAAGTTATACTCAAAGTGGAGTAGTAGTAATATTGAAATTTTTTTGGTATTTGGACAGAAATAAATATAGTTATTAATTGCCTTCAGAGCATGTAATTCAATTCTTACGTAGATGTACTGATTGGGATAAAGGAATTATTTTTTAAAATGTACCGAAATACTAAGTAGGTAGGTGCTAAGAGGTATTGGACATACGTCTTTCTCCGTACCAAATACTATGTGTATTTGGTACGGAGAAAGACGTATGTCTATGTCAAATAGTTTAGCCGCCAATGCGCCAAGGTATCATGTAAAGTTACTTTTACATTCATGACATTAGTATATCTAAAACCAAGTACTGAAACTTGGGTGAAATATAATTTGGGACTAGATGACATAGTTTAATACGATCAGAGCTATTTAAAAAAGGCTTAACTTAATCAAGGAAAGCGGTCGTGAAAAGTAAGCAAAATCTTATAACAAACTGTTTATTTATGTAACTAGAATAGAAATCGAGTTGACGGTCCATGTGATGGTAAGTGGCAATAGTTGCCTATATTTATGAAGAGTAGTTTATTTAAAAATTTATTTATGCCATCATGTGACTTCCGTGGTATTGGTCGTGCACAAACTCATTCTTTGTCTAGAAGTTTCTATTTCAGTTACTATCAAACCGTTTGTATTTGAATTTGGAACACTGTCAATTCACATATTGGTGGCAAATTTGTTGCCTAGTTGTTCTGTGATGTACGTTGCTGAAGTAGATGGTTCCTTGGTACATAGTTCAAAGGTCCGTCCATGTTGTTACAATTTAAAATGTACATCAATAATTGTTGGACATATCTTAATACAAACAACATAATATTGGCTACAAAAGTAGAAAATTTTCCTAGATATGTGACAAATATTTGTCGGGAACAATTTATACACATCTGAATTTATAGGAAAATCTATTCTAGATAAAAATAGTACAAGAGTAAATTAATTAAACAATGCATTTATAGCGTTGTACAAATTAAAAAACTTTAACTGTAACTAGTATTCTAGTCAGATAACAGTGTTACTAACGTCTAATTTATAAGCAAATAAACAGGTTTCACATATCCCGGAAAGTCTTCACAATATGAATATAAAGCATAGTCGATTAATTGCACAATTAATACGAAACTACTTCAAAGTTTACTATACGTTCTGTAGTATCTGTGATAGAAAAATAGATCTATGTTATTCTACATTTAAATTAATATTTATAGTGTGTATGAGTATGTATAAATAGTTTATTTTTTGTGAATTATGATAGACAATCTGTATAATTTAGTATATGGTTAAAGTGCCTACATACGTCACAATTTGGCACACGATCGGTATAGTTTGGTAGTAACTGACACGACACTCTTCTAGTTGTTCATATGATTTCATATAGTACGAGATTGACGAGATTGATCAACCATGCCAATCGTGTGCCAATTGAGTTGTAAAGCGTTTTACATTTAGAAATTCACTCTTGTGCCCTATAAAGCATATTTTCACTTTTACCACACCCCGTCCGATATGAGTAAACATGTATGTAAAACAATAATGCACTTTCAATATGAACTCTTATTCGTATGAGAATAAAGTTTATAAATAAATAACAGCATATTTCAATTCTAATGGTAATTTAAG